AAGTGGATTTAATTAATTTATTACTAGTTTATTATATTAAATTTTTAATCACAAAATACATCAAAAATAAATTTTTTAATTTTCATTCGGCTACCAAACAATTTAGTAGCTAAAGGTGCCCCTACGGCTACTAAAATTTATTTTAGTCGCCAATTGTGATATGTTTAGTTACTAAAAAAATTTTTAGTGGCCTATTGTAATATTTTTAGCGACTAAATTTATTTTAGTCGCCAACAATTAACATTCCCCTACTAAAAAAAATTAGTAGCTAAAAAGTTGACTTTTGCCGACTAAAATTAATTTTGGTAGTCAATTCCCACGCTTTTGGCGACTAAATTTGTTTTGGTAGCCAAAAATGGTCGCCAAAAATGTGTTTTCTTGTAGTGTGGGTACGTCAATACGCCAAAACCTAAAAAACGTGAGATATGGTTAATGCGGAATATTTTTATAATTGTAGTAGTACATGGTATATAACAATTAAAAAATCAAATGCAAAAAATAATTAAAATATTTTCGTATTGGTAAAAAAATTAACCCCAAGATTTTTTTATAATTGCAAAAATACTATACATTTAACATATATATATATATATATAGGCACAATATAAATTTTAGCACTCTTATATTTAAAAATAAAATTTTGAATTCATGCCCTTACGTACCCATGTCATACCCAAAGTATTTCACGTACCTACCGGACACTTATTTTGTATACCCGATATCTAAGAAGCATAGACACTTCTAAGAAGTAAGAAGGTGATGTATCTGTGTCGAATGCCAACACTCCTCAAATACTCTTGACCATGTGCTCAATGCTCTTTTTTCATTTATGTAATTTAAAATAAAATCTTAATTCCAAACACATGTCTAACACTCATTTTTTGACGTGTTCGTCACTTCTTGACCATATCCGTCACTAAAAATAAACATGAGACTAACACTTCTTAGACATTTGCTAATGATTTTCAAAGTTTAAAAAATTGACATATGTTATACCCTTAAAAATATATAATTATTGAAAATAATCTTATAGAAGTTTCACATAGAATTAAATAAAAAAAATGAAGAAGATACGTAAATATATTATCAAATATGGCTAATGATGACGAGGCATGTGTCACAATTATATATGTTTGCTACAATTTGTCTGATTTTTAACTACTATATGGCCCATTAGTCTAAAAATTCATGTAAAAGAATTAGATATAAGATTTACTTTGTATAAAGTAATTATTTAATTTTGGATATATTGTGAAAACGACGCCATTTCATGTATTATGCAAATAAAATCGAATCTTTGGAATTGAAATGAATCATAGTAAATCACAATTGAGTAGTAAGATTCACTCAATTTAAAATTCAACTTCACTAATCGAATCATTTTGTTTGAAACTTATATCGAATTATGAATTGTAAGATTCTAACAACCATACCATACTGTATCGTATCATATAGTATCATATTCGTGTCTATGCTTCATAGTCCAGTATGCATACTTGTACTCGGTAAGTCCCTGGTACTCGTATGGTAATAATACTTGTGTTTCATAGATCAAACCTAATAGGAATACATATATTTTCTTCCCAAACCATAAATGATAGGATTTTAACCCTAGTGTGTTTGCACTGTACCCCTAAGTTACCATACAGCTAAGACATCTATTTCTAATAGGAATACTTCCAAGATATATTTAAACTCTACAAAGTTGTTGAATAGATTTTCTATGTAGAATGATGTAGTAGTGGCATTTTTGTAAATAAAATGTAATTCATGGTCCTTTTGTTTTAAATATGTAACTATTATGCCAAATTCATTTTACATGTGTATTTTTTTCATAGCATCTATTTGTGTGTCACTACCTATATTTATTTTCTTTAAGATTTTATTTAATTGTCTTTCCAAACACAGGGCGAGGTCATCTGTCTAGATTTACGTAAAACCTAACTTGTTTACATCTTAAGGTTGGATAGCTTGGTTGGATTGATTATATTTCTTTACTTGATAAAGCTAAGGGTAAAAAGTAATTCATTTTTTTCTTGAAGGCATATCCAAAATGGTGTTTGCATATTTAGACACCTTTTGTTTTGAAACATCCAAACAATTTCAGGGAGACCTACTATTAATGCCAAGTAAATGAAACGTCATACAAGATTAGAATCCCTCAGCTTTGAGATCTCTTCCTATTAGCCAAAAAAAGAAGTGGTTTTTTCTACATTTGTAGAAGATCAAAAAGGGGATTATTATATTCAAGGCAATAATTGACGAACTTATTACAATTAGATCCATTAAATAATTTTTTTTCTCTAAAGTCTATGTATACAAATTTATTTGTAAAAAGTCAATTTTGACCAAACACACTCCTTCCCTAGACCCTACTCTCCATCCATCCCTCTCTGTCACAGCAAATCCCTCTTCTCTGCTCGACAGTTGGTGCTCCATTATGCCTTCCCCTGACGTAGCAGCATAATAAGACAACGAATGTGTTGATATATAATATTCTAAATTGGGGTATGTATAGGTCTAAGAATATGAATTCAAATCATCTAGAGTATACAACATATTGAATTTTATGACTGAAAAATGATTAGATTCAGTAGATTTTATGTTTTTCATACCTTTTATATGCTGCCATGCTAGAGAAGAGAACTTATTTCTACCCCTTAATAAGTTCCATCAATGTAATATTAAGTTTCTCATATAAGGGTCGTTGGTATCAAAGTGATTTTGTTATTGGATCAATGTATGGGTTCTATAGACGAACAACAAGATTGTGTGGGATCTGTGGAGAAATGGATGAGCTTTGATAAAAATGATTTTTTTTTTGTCTATTTTTTGTCTTGTGTGTAAATAAATTTCAGTAGATAGGTTTTAGAGTAGGAGGCACGGATGCGGATACAACGATACCGATATGGCGATACGCCAAAATCTGAAAAAGTAGGATACAGGTGCGGCGGGGATATGTTTGTAAAAAAAAATATTTTTTATAATTTTATTAATGCAATATGCAAGAAAATAAAACCTAAACTGAATTAATAAATAAAGAGAGGGATTTTTATTAAATAAAGAAATATTAACATTAGAGCTCCTAAAATTAAAAGTTTGGTAAACAAATACTTACATTAAAATAGTGTAGGGGAAAAAAAAATTGGAAAAAAAAAAAAATAAAGTAGCCTAAAAACTATGGTAAAGGTTAGGCGTGTACTCAATCTTTCTCCTTTCAAACACATATTAATGTGTACTAGTTGGCCATTGGTTTTTTAGCCTAATAGATAAGGAAAAAAGAAAAAAAGAAGAAGAACAAGAACAAGAGCAGAGAATTGACTATTGAAAAACATATAAATATAAAATAACAAAAAACTTGGAAAAAAAAATTATGTACTTATTTGGCTTATTAAAATATAAAAAATAAAAAAATTAGAAAAAAAAAATTTGGATACTTATTTGGCTTATCCCTCGTGTATCCCTCACATATCTTGCCGTATCCCCCAAGTATGCTTCACTTCTCCCTCCCATATGCGAAACTAAGAAAAAAAAAAAAATCGGATACTTATTTGACATATCTGATATGTATCCCGCTGTATCGAACGCGTATCCATAGCCGTATCCGATATTCATACGGCACCTTTTTTAGAGTATATGTGTTTCATAGGTTTTAGAAGAAAAATTTTCATCTAATGGACCTAACTGTGATATGTTTTTTTTATTTATTATCTTTTATGTGATAATCCCATCAATTTATTGATCCATGATCTCTTTCTCACTCTCTCTCTCTCTCTCTCCCTCTCACACACAAACACACCTGCGCGTGCACGCGCTCGTTTTTGAACCTCTACATTATTTGCAGAGGGAAAAGAAAAGAAAAGGAAAAGATAGGAAAATAAGATAAGGGTCTGTTTGGTATTGTTTTCATTTTCTGTTTTTTGTTTTTATTTTTTTGAAAACTTAGGAAACTTGTTTGATGAACTGTTTTCAAGAATTTTTTTGGAAAACAATCCATTTTTTAGGAAACACCAAAACGTTATGTTCACATTATCAAAAACTGTTTTTCGCACAAAATGAAGACAATGGATGTTTTTGAACTTCTCATTGTTTTTGTTTCCAAAAATGTAGAAAACAAAACTGATGCCAAATTACATAATTAAATAAAAAAAATGGATTTCTTTTACTAATATCTGATCATTTTCTTATCATTTTCCGAAACAAACCAAAAAAATGAAGAAAACTAGGGCTTGTTTTGAGCTCAACCATTAATTTGTACTCAAGTTTGATTGGTACGGTTTGTAATTTTTCACAAGCCTAGTGAGGTGATCTTATTGTAGCTCAGGCTCAGTTTATTTGGAAAATGAATTGCATAATCAATTTTCAATCTGCTCTCTCTCTCTCTCTCTCACACGCGCGCGCACACACACACACGTTTTGTTAATTTATCTATTGTTTATATTAGTGAGTCATAATCAATGTTGCTACATTTTCATTTGCTTTGTGTTTCAATATATTTTTATAGCAGTTAATCTCATTTTTTGTATGGTTCTATCCCTCTCATATCAAATTACTTAATTATATAAAAACACGTGAACACGAGCATAATTAGTGAATACTTTACTTGTTATATTAGTGGGTCATAATCAATCTGGCTACATTTTCATTTGCTTTCAGTTTCTATATATTTTTATAGCCGTAAATCTCATTTTTTGTATGGTTCCATCCCTCATATTAAATTACTTAATTATATAAAACACGTGCATAATTAGTGAATACTCTACTTGTTAGCTACTTTTTAGTGCTTGCTTTGAATTCCCAAATCATGATCCATTGCTTGATTCTGTGTGCAGGCAACGAACTGAATCAACCATATGATGAATACCGAAGCAAGAGCACCCAAAACAATGATTTATGACAACTCATTTCACCAAGGCAAACCATTTCGTTTATTTATTCGTGACTGTCATTTTCATGAGATACTTAGCGTGAACACATCAAACACTGTAAAAGATGTGAAGAAGATGATTGCGGATGTTGTTGGAGTGCCTCCTAGTCAACAATTGGTGGTTGAAAATCTAGATCACCCACCACAGGATGATGAAGAGATCTTGGGTGCTCATAGCATCCAGAAGTTGGGCTTAGTTTGGCTCTTAAGCTTGTCGATGAAGCTCTAGATAAATGTCCCCTAGGCAGGTACTTGTACGTAACTCAATATCTACAGCTCATTCTCAGTTTCCAGCATCAAGGACATGATCCACGACAATATGGTTGTCCCATCCAATAGACAAACTCTAGTCTATTCTGGAATATCACTCGATGATAAGGCCTTGTCATTCTATGACATTCCTAGGAATTCCACCCTTTACACAATCTTTGGGGCAGACAATGGAACGTCTAATTTGCTGATATTTGTTGATGCTGGTAAAAATGAAGCTCTTGCACTCAAAATGAAACCCTGGTTTATAATTCTTGACGTGAAGTCTATGATTGAGAGCTGTTGTGGAATTCCGATTCAAAGTCAAGAGCTTGTTTACTTAAAGGAGAAGCTTGAGGACTAGAAAACTGTTGAAGGCTATAATATGAACGATGGGTCCTTCATTTCTTTGAACATTTCTGGCTCGTTGATTAGGTTACATATCAAGGTAAAGAGCCGAAACATGACCCAAAATGTCATATCATATCAAGCAAAGAGTTTTGACACTGTCAATGAATTTTTAGCCAAGATTCCTCAAGGGGTGTTAGCGAGCATCGTTGTGGAACCAACTCTGTTTCTGGAGGAGACTAGGCTTATGGGTGATAAGGCTTTAGCCAATTATGATCTCTATTCAGGATCTTTTCTCACACTGAAACGTGTTATCCAAATTCACGTGGCAATTCCATGCAAGCAAACAGTTAAGGTGAACCTGAAGGCATAGGATCCCATCTATCGGATGAATGAGAAGATTGAAGAGACGTGTGGCATCCCCGATGAACTGCAACAACTGACTTATCATGGAGATGCGGTGGATGACATGTTGAGGGTTGAGCAGTGTGAAAAATTGTTTGGGAGCCTTTGGGTTCTCAGGTGGAACTGGGTTGGTAGGACTTGGTTTTTCTTCTGGCCATCCTATATGCATGTGTAGAGGGAAGGTAACAAAGTCTCTTTGACTTTAAGTAACTTTAAGTAATTTCTAGTTTCAGTATGTAATCAAAACATAAAATAGGTCTACTCTTTTTGTTTTGGAAATGGTGTAAATATGTTATGTGTTAATTGCTTGGTTAGTGCATGTACGAGCACGAAATAATTCTTCTCGTATGATCCTGTTGATCAAGTTTGCACTCTTCTAAACGTCGTCGCTTTGCCACCTGAAAACACAAACGTGAGCTAACCGGCGGGTGTGTGCGGAAACCCCTCCGATGCCTAAGTCAGCATAATAGACAATAGACAAAAGCTCTGTGAATTCAGGAATCAAAGTTGTGTTACCTCTCCCATAGGTTATGTCGTGAGCTTTTATAGGTTCCGCGTGGTATAATCCTAGTAGGACTCTTATTCTTCCATGCAGAGTCCTCCTAGGAATCACTTTCCAGAAAGATAATGCTTATCCTTCAACACCCCCCTCACTGCTTAAACCAAGTGAGATGGCTTTACCTCGGTAGTATGACAAAACGACCGGGCTAACATAGCCATGCTATACTGGCAGAAATGACTGAGCTCCATTTAGTTCGGTCCTCCCCTTTATTGCCTGTACCTTGGTTTGGTCTACTAAAACCGAGCTAACCGTAGTCAGCTTTGACCAAGCTATCTGTAGCAGGCTACGATCGAGCTAACGAGAGCAAGTTCCACAAGCCCAAATACCTTGGTCTTAAATACTATGACCGAGCTAACTACATCCATTCCAACCGCGGTAACTGTAAGCACTCTTGGACCGAGCTAACACTTGGTCCACTTGCCAAGTCCCTTTTACCCAGACCTTCTCATTATAGCCCATAGAACGGCCCATTACCCAGCTCGGCCCAATTTTCTTATAAATTACCCTCTCGATTATCCCTTAATTCCATCTGTGCAGCATGATTGGGATTACCCGTCTCCAGCCGAGCTAAAAACTTTAGCCTCTCAACCGGGCTAAATTCACATCATGCTACCAATCCGTCCGGTCAAAACGTCTTTTCAGTCGCTGTAACTGAATTGCTTCTTATTCCAAGGACACGTGGCACACTCTTATTGGCCCAGTGTAGCTGTCACGCCGTTCTCGTACCTCGCGAATTTTGAACAGTCCCGCCTTTTTCCTTCATTTTTCACAAAACAAACCCTAAAGCTTTGAATCCGTCATTTCACTATTTACCTTCTCTCTCTCTTACTTGAGCCTCCATTTCTGCAACCACTGTTTTTTGCAAAGCTCGTGTTTGTTGTTGTCACTGTTTCCATCTCCAGTTCCTTCATCTTCATACTTGTAAGTAACTTAATCCTCTTTCCTTTTTGTTGATTTCGTATTTATTTTGTACAGCATAGTATGCGTATTTGTATGTTTTG